CGCCCAACCACCCCCCCCCACCCCCCCCCCCCCCCCTAAGTGTGCGCTAACCAATCAGTCTCTAATTCTAACTTTCTACTTAAAAAAATTAAAGTATATCTTGACCCAACACAACCCAGCAAAAATGAAATATATTGCAGGTTAGCCAGTCCTTAGATGTGGTGTCTTTTTTCAAAAAAGAACCTGTTAATCCTTCCAGAAATCCAGTGTTCTAGTCTGGAGCATCCCTACAATTCTAGCCGCCTAACGTGTGGGGGTGTGTTGCTGGGTGTCGGCGGTGCAGGTCCGGGAGGGAGGGGCACATGACCCAATGAGATGCTGCCTGAGGAATCCACCTCAGGCTGCTTCATTATAGGGACAGCCCTGGTCCTAGTAATTTCATATGTACTGAACTGGAATCTCAAGCAATGTTATCATCTTTCTTTGTTCTGTTCTGTGATTTACAAAACATATCCATCCTATGTTGTGGACATGAGGAAAGGGGGAGGTGTTTGTGGTTTAAATCAAGAGAGCAGCCTAGGCCATCGATACAGTTAGCACGGTCACCCTTGGACGCAAAATGCATATTTTTGATTACCAGATGAAAATAAAAGAAATCAAGCCTGAAAAAAAAAAGGCAAGCGTCCAGCCAACACATCAAAAGACTGGTAAGCTGCACCTCTTGACAATGTAGTTGAAGGAAATAATTGTGAGCTCTTTCAGTAAGCCACAGAGCAAAATGAAAGAGCAGCAATCCTTGGTAAACAATCAGAATTCAACTTACTAAAACTGAAATCAGCTTGTTATGGTATGCAAGACTTTGCTGTTTATGCTGTCTTCCTGTAAAACTTTTAATGTACAGTATATTGCACATCGTCCAAGGGCAATAGATATTTCACCATAGTACAAAAATAAAATTAAGTACAAATGACTATGTAAGTTATGATATGGAGGGGCCAAGACTATAGTTCTACTATCAGGCAGAGATTACTCCACCTGATAGTAACACAGTCCTTTCAGTGCAAGGTGCTGGAACACAGAGAGCATTCCAGCACCCAGCTCACTGCTGCCACTCTGCACTAACCAATTACACACAGTTGCCCACATTTGAGAGACGTTAGGAGGGACACCTTGTAGGGTCTAAGAGTCTTTATTTTCTTACAGCCACTGGCAGGAACTGACACAAGAGCTTGCACTCACTCAGTGATCCTTACTGAGACTTGCAGGACAAATCCATATATACAGTATTTTGCTAGTTACAGTGCAAAGCTAAGAATTGTAAAAGATGAACAATTTGAAGTACAGACAACGCAAATATTTTGCAAGGTGCAGGCAATAACTGTAGCACCACATGCCTGCCATGGTTTCTCTACATACATGGCACATGGAGAGACTCCCCACACCCCAGTATGCTCAAAGCTCAGACCACCTGCTCACACGATGGGGTCCAGGCCCAGGCCCAGGCCCAGCACAGTAACCCTCAGTGAGCCATCGAGGTACAACTTACTACACAATTAAAACTGTTCCAGCAAATCCTGGACAGTTGGTTAGTATGTACAGAATGTGCATTTTAGCTGTGTATTAGCTGCTTAGCTGGAGTTCCTCTTTAACTTTTATTTATTTATTAAGTTACATAAAACAGAATTACATCATCTAAATTATCCTTAAAAGACACACAGAACTGCATTAAGTAGAAACACAGGTTAGTAGAAGAGAATAACTGGTCCAATATGTGACAATTTTACATAATTGTATTACCAACCAAGACATATACAACTCGTGATTGAATAATAAACTGCATGCCTGCTACGTGCAGATCTTATTTTACTCAATTGGGGGTAAAAGTGAAACCTGTGAGGAGGGAGAGAGAACATAATTGGTGTGTGTGTTTGGGTACCTCTATGAATAAGTCTACGGTGAAACATGTGAGAGGTTGTAGCTGGTTGGGGGTTTGCGGTGTTGGTATTCGTTTCTTTTCTAAACTTTTATTCACTGTTATACTGGATTTGCTGTCAATAAAGTCTGAAGTGTTGGAATTCTTTGGATAGTGCGTTCTGTTCGTATACTACTACATTCCAGGGTGGAGACGCACCTATTAGACCAGCACCTGGGGAGTCCTGATGGCAGCTAAGCAATTGGAGCAGTGAGATTTCCTTTGGCTCTACATGTGTTGGGGGGTGGATAGAAATTGGTCAAATGCTAGATAACTAAATAAGAGATAGGGGGTAACATGCTATTTGATATTACATCGCAATTGTGTAATAATGTGCATTAAAGTCCAAAACCCAACAGTATTAGAGCAGTAGTACATTCCATTAGCAGAAAAGTATCTTTCAGTTCTGCTGGCTTTATTCTACAGCTGTCACATTTGTTATTTTACATGCAGGAGGAATGTACAGCTCCCGCTGTACTTCTGTGCCCATTCGGGAGTAAGCACTGCTGGGGTCATAGACCCCAGTGCAGTGCTTGCATATATGCCCCCCTCTGCTCCAGGCCATTCATAAAATGGGCCTGGGGCAATCTGTTTTGTGAATGGTAATGAGGAAAGTGTGCTGTAGTTCCTTCACTGTCCAATCAGCATGCCGGAAATATGGTGCACTGTTCACCAAACTGTGCTGTTGCCACAGTGAAAACTGAGGTCAAGACTGCAATGTGTGGATACTCAGTTTTACTTAAATACCCATATCACAGGTTCTGCAAACTTTACCATGTGTGACTAGACTGATAGGATTCAAAGCCATTTATAGATCTGGTTACATACCTGAGTTGATGTGTAGGAACAACATTAATATTAGGTATTAATTGTCTTTAAGGACCCATTCACACCTGACTGTCTCATTTTTCAGGTGTCTTTATAAAGTATATAAACAGGCATTTTTGCTCACTTTTCAGGTTTGTGCTTCTTTTTAGTATTGTTTTTAGCCAATGGAAAGCTAGTTGCTAGTCAAGAAAACACACAAAAAACTCACACAAGGCATGTCTTTGTGCGCTCTTCAAGCGTTTTTTATGGTGCTTCAACTGAAGTCTTTTGAGGCCAAAATGCAAAACTCTACTCTACCCCAAAAGAAAGCCATGTACTTTGAGCAACAAGGTTCATCCTGTGTAGTAGCGCACATAAAATTGATGGTGTGAGGCCCTAAGTTCCATCCTGGGACAGCTGCTTACTCTCACTTCGGTGGCCACCTGGCTGGAATTGAATTTGCCATTAATGTTATTTCGAGGAAATAGATAACAAGGGCTGTATTTTTTTACAAAAAATAGTGGTACCCTTAGGGGTTGGCTACGTTTAACCACCTGCGGAGCAGAGTATTGTCAGCAGGAGTGTGCCAGCTGCCAAAGTGTACACATACTGTATAATGGA